GATTTACTCCCATGGGCAGGCACTCAGGTTTAGATCAGAGAGAGGCTCACGCAGCCCCTCACCCCCCAAACACACCTTGCTGGGGCATCAGCACCCCCAGACATCTCTGAAGTTCCCCTCCAGCATCGCCCGGCTCATGGGAGGAGACCAGAGGGCTGGAAGTCCCGACCCAGGGAGGCCGCAGGCCCCTGATTTGGTGGCCCAGCACCCCCAGAGAAGCTCCCTGGCCCACGGGCACCTCCTCCAAGGGGGCCTCTGATGGACAAGACACCCGGTGCCCACGCTGAGGGACTGCCCGCAGAACAGGCACGGGTGGGAGCTCTCCTGTGCGGGGAGACAGTCGTGCGTGGCGAGGTGGGAGCTGCTCAGGAAGGGGGAAGCTCTCCCCACACTCCAGGCACTTGTACGGTCTCTCTCCCTTCTGGGCCCTGCGCTGGGAGATGAGGCTGGAGAAGTCCTTGCAGGTCTTCCCGCCGTCTGGGCACGTGTGGGGTCGTTCTCCCGGGGGATTTCTTTGGTGACGTCTCATGCTGTTCCTCCCGCGGAAGATCTTCCCACCCTGGGGGCATTTAGAGGTCCCCCGCGTGGCGCGGGCCACCGGCTTGCTGGTGGCCGGGTGGGTGTTCTTCCCGCCATCCCCTTGTCCCAGCAGTGTCTGCTCCCCTTGGCTCTAGAACTTCTTCCCCATGTCCTGGGGTGCTTTTCTTGGCTCCAGCTGGGTTCTCTTGATGCCTGCAGGAGAAAGACAAAGCCCTTTGTTGCGGTTTGAGCCCACAGGGCAACTAAGCAGAACCCAGCCCTTCTGTCACCCCTTCCCCCAGTGCTGGGAAGGAGAAGAGGAAGCAAAAGGCTCAGGAATGCAGATAAGAGCAGGGAGGGGTGGCTCACCTGTTAAAGATTCTGGCTAAAAGAACATCACTTCATTGAACACACGAAGAGAAACAGCACTTGGCGGACAGAATGGGACCCTGAGAAGTGTTAGCGCATCATAAACCCGCCACACACCCCTCCCTTCTCCCTGGCTCAGTTTTCTTCCCCATCTCTCTGCCTCCCCCCGAGCAGTGCAGGGGCAGGGGATGGGGGGTGCAGTCAGTCCCACCCTTCTTCCTCCAGAGGACGGGGTGTCCCCTCCCCATTCTGCCCCTGCCCCACACAGCTCCCCTTCTGGCACTGACTCCATCCCATGGGCTGCAGCCCCCTGGGCTGCTCTGACTGGGTCACCCCACGTGTTTCGGTCCTCCCAGCGTTGAGCTACAACAGTGGGGGCTTCTTCTCCCCTCACAGTCCCAGGCTACTTTACACGCAGTTGCCTCCTCATCTCTGGGCCCCCCCCAGGCCACGGGTGGGACTGTGCTCCCCCGGTGACCTCCAAGGGCAGCAGAGGGGCAGCCCTGTCCTCTCACCAGGGGATATGGGGGGCTCTGCTCCGGCACCTTCTCCCTTCCTCTCCCCTTCCCTCCTCTGATCTCGGTGCACGCAGACATGTCCATCTCCTAACTCCTGTCAGTGTCCCCCAAAGCCCTTCCTATTTACCCTCCTTAAATACGCTATCGCAGAGCCACACCCATCGTCCTCAATGAGCTCGGCCTTGGCCAGAGGCGAGTCCCACTTGGAGGCAGCGGAGCTTTGAGCAGCTTCTCACAGGGGCCATCGCTGTAGCCCCGTCACCCACCGCCAAACCTCCCCCCAACACACAAACCCAGCACAGCATCGCTCCAACGGGACCTCCACAGCCAGGGATGGAGGGGAACCCCCAGGATCTGTTGGGGTAACGCAAGCCGGGAAGACCCAGGAGGGGATTTGCAGTGGAGGAGGATGGGTGCAGAGAGGCCTCCGTGCCCACACACGAGCCTGGGAAATGTCCTCGGAGGCCGTTTGCTATCGCCTGGACTGACTCCGGAACCCCCCTGCACCGAGGAGCTTCTTCCAGGGCAGATCCATTCCTCGCAGCTCTCCAGTGCAACCTCCTGCTCCCAGCAGCACCATCCCCACCGCTAGTTCCACCCAACCTGGGGACAGAGCCAACCCATGCCCAGGGCCAGCTCCCAGCCCAGCACTGCTGCCACGCTGG